TAGCAAAGCGAGGATCCCCAGACCTGCTGCTTAAAGCAGCCACCTCCTGGGATATGTTGGAAGAGAGGAAGGTGGTCCTGTCTACCCTAGGCCCCAGACCTAATGTGTGTCAACTCCCACCTTCTTTAATGAGGGTCATGGCATCCAACTTCTTCGTGTTTTTGTTACTCTCCTCCAGCTCAGCCCCTGGAGGAGAAACACAGCTTAGAAGGACCATCCCCACTAGAAACCCCATCTCGTACCCAACCAGCACTGGCAGTCAAGCAGTAGGAAGCCCACACTCTCTAATAAGCTCCTGGTGCTCAGGACCTCTCGGAGAGCCTTTCAGTGGGTCATTCTTAAGTGCCCATTCTTCTTTCAGCTGCTACCTCTGGAAAGGTAGCTGAGCTGAGCCCCTGCCACCTTTCTTATGGACCCTTCACTCCAAGGGTTCCACTGCTAAGTAGCTGGATGATTGTGAATAAGTATGATCTCTTTTCTGGGCCACTTCCCCATTTAAATGGGAAACAATCCTTAACGTATTTTGCTATAAATCTTGAAGTCCCTTCTTCATGAGAAGAATATGAGACCATATGAAATTTCTCATACGGTCCTCCCTGCTACTCTGTGCCACACCAAACTCATACGGTCCTTCCTGCTACTCTGTGCCACACCAAACAGATATCTCCCAGGTCCCAATCCCCATGAACGTGACTTTCTTCCACCTGGGTTACTGTGGTACTGACAAAGTTACACCCAGCTTCTCAGGTCCTGCATTGACAGGATGGTCACAGAGCAGAGAAACTGCCATCTCAGGGGGTCCTCTGGCATCTTCAAAGTCCATTTGGTCAGCTATGCAAGCCCCTCCCCTCTTTAGAGGGCTTTGGGCAAGGGTTGCCCTTATACCTCAGTTTCTGGGTTGATGACAAAAACATCTTAGCTGTGCAAAGCAGCTCTTTCCCCCATCCCCCTACTTTACTCCTCTCCCCTCCCTCCTCTATGCCCCCTCCCTGTCCCTTGGAAAAAAAATCAATTCTGAGTCACCAAACCCGTCTGATTCCATTTCCGGTTCTCAAAGCACCCAGACCCTGACAATGGCCCCATCCTTGCCCACCCAGCATGGGACAGCCCTAGGGTGGCCTGGGCATCCACTTAGATGTGCTTCTAACACCTACTGACAGATTTGCCCCTTTCTAGGATGAAAAGATCGCTGACAGTCTTATATAATCTCCAGATATGAGGGGTAGTGGGTCAGGCATGCAAGAGACAAGGGGCAGCTCCCACTCTTAAGTCCGTTAAAATGCACTGATGGGCAGAACTGAGCTGGGAGTCAGACGTCTCAGAGGAGAACAAGTGTCATCAGAGACCGCTCCATGCGGTCTCCTCCTCCACCTCTTCTCACTTGCAAACTTCTTCAGGGCTGTGATGCCTGCTGTCACCCCAAAGGCCATGAGGCCAGGTGCCCCCTGGGGCCCAGGAGACAAAGATCAGCAGAAAGAGATGTCAGCCTGCTTACCAAAGGCACTCAGGGGCCTAGAGAAGGTGGGGGTCAGGGGAGAGAGCCAAGAGGCAGGCAAGAGGCCCGGGAAAGGACTGAGGGTTGAGGCACAGAGAGATGGATGGACGGAAAGGAGGGAAGGAGGGAGGAAGGGAGGATGGATAGATGGATGGACCGACGAACTAATGCGGAGGAGGCGGGGGTCCAGTGGTACTGCAACCCGCTGGCAAACGCCGAAAAGGAGCAGGAGGTGTGGGGCAGAAGGCGAAGGAACAAGGGGGGTTGGGAGGGGGGCACAGAAGTGGGGTGCGTGGGAAACACGTGGAGAGGACTGTTGCGGACGGGGAAAGCCCTAGGCAGGTGCAGGAGGAGCGGAAGCTAGAGGACAGCAGGCGAAGAGAAAGGTAAAGGCAAACAGATGTCGGGGCAGGTACTGGGCACCGGCAGAGGCAGAGGTGGGCAGGGTGGGCTGAGGGCCGTGGGCCGGCGCTAGGACCCGGAGGCGCGAAGGTGACGGAGCAGGCGGGCACTAGGACCCGGCGGGTCCTTTGTTTGGGGGGCCGGGGAGCCGGACGGCGGCTCCCGTCGGCGGCTCCCCTCTGCTGGCGGGGGCCCGGAGAGGGGGAGGGGAGACAGTGCTGGGGTCCCCGGACTCTACGGGAGCTTCACTCACCGTCGGCCGCGGGCAGGTCGGCCCGTTCCACCCACGAGCTCCAGCTCTGTCCCGCGAAGTCATCGAGACTCGGCACCCGCCGCTCCAGAGCGGCCATTGCTGCCGCCGCGCGTTCACGCACCGCCATCACCGCCGCGGACGCGCGCCCGCCCCGGCGCCACCGCCGCGCGGCCCCCTCCCCCTAGCCCCGCCGCGGGCACGCCTCCCCTCTCCCTCCCACCTTTCCAGCTCACTCTTTGCGCAAGCGCAGCACAGGTTGGCTTCCCCTGACTCTCACTCTCGCATAGCCTTCTGGGAAGTGTAGTCTTGGCGGGGGTGCTGTTGCCTACGGAGCTTGCAGCAAAAGCCCCTCCAAAATGCACAACAGCGGAGGGCGAAGAGACCAAAGCCCCAGGACCTCGTCTCCTGACCCTTGTGCACACATTCTTTGTGCTACTAGCCCGCCCTCCCAAGCTCACTGCATACACACCCCCGCCCCAAACCTCTCTCTGCCCAAGACGCCCCTCTAAGCCGTGCCTTCGCCAGCTGGCTGGCGCCCCTTCCCGGGCTGGCGGTCAAGAAGCGACTTCGCTCCCCTGTAGATCGAATAGGGTAGGTGCAGGGAGGTGGGCGCTGTGAATCAGAAGGGCAAGGGGAGGGAGTCTGTAGGATGTGCTGAAGGACACAAGGGTTGGAGTGGGGGAGGGTCCTCGGCTCCCGTGTTGTGCCTCTTCTGTGGGAAACCCACGGTGCCCTGATGCAGGGTAGAGGGTTGGAGTGGCGTTGTCTGGGTTTGGGAGGACGTAGATGAGCTGATCAAGATCACCTGTCAGGATGACAGAAGGCTATCTCCGAGCCAGAGCCAGCCCCGGAACTGGGGTGGCCTCCAGGCTGCTGGTGTTTGCAGCATCTCTGCTGATCCTTCTCTCCTCCTGAGAACTGCGATCAATACCCTGTACCGCCTCTTCCCAAACCCTGGCTGGACCCTGACTCCATCCATCACTTTGGCTTCTTTTTCTAATGAATATTTTCTCTGCTGGAAGGGCTGCTACCAGAGCCTCAGCATAGGGAGATTTCTCATCAGATCTGTCATTTTCTTTGCTAAGGCCTGGAAAATACCTTAATCATCCTCTTTCTTCTTCTCAGCTGATAACAGTTCTTCCCACCCTCCCACAATCAAAAGACAAAAGCCTCCCCCCCATCATATCAGAAAAGAGAGACTAGTTCTCTTTTCCCTCTTCAAACCTCACAGCTCAGCCCATATTTATTCCTTCAGCTGGAGGAAATCAAATTGGAGGGTGTGACTTCAAGACCTCAGACTTTCTTCTCATCTTCACCCAGGGAAGGTTTAAGCACTGCAAAAATAATCTCTGAGGGCAGTGATTCTTAAGCTGAGAACTACAGATGATCCCTGGGCAGAGGTGGGGAGCGACGACCAGGATCTTGTTGAAATTGTGACATCGTGTCCGAGTGCGTTTTTCTGGAAGTCACTTGTCCGAAGGGGGATAGAGGTGCAAGTTTGTTCAGGAAGAACCTTTATAGTTAAAAGGGCAAGACATATGGCTCTCACCTCCTGACAGGAAGCTTAGGAGAGCAGATGAAAACAGCATAGTGGAAGCTACTATCTCTTGCCTTTTGAGTTTGCTCAAATTTGGTAAAGAGTCTCAGTTACTTTGGACTAATTGGTGCTATCAAAAGAGAAAATGCAGACTCTATTACTTGGGGTGCAAGTGGAATGATGTTTTGGCAGAAATGCTGATATTTGTCCAAGAATGTAAAGCAATGAGAGGAAGAGAATAAAAATCCCTGGAAGGGCTCTAGTCTTAGCTCTGTCATAGCAAATGTTTTGAAGCACTGTTTATTTAAATGTGTAATAACAAGCACCAGAAAACAACATGCAACATTCTCCCCCCACCCAGCCCCGATCTTCAATCCCAGAAGTAGGAGACCTATGATCATGATAGTGGAGGGAACTCAAAATTCTGAAAATGTCCTTTGTGTGCACCCTGGCAGTGTCAGAGTTTAGTAGGGCGGAGGGTGAGTGCCCTGCCTGTTGGCCTCCTACAATCTGGAGAAACCAGACACAGTCTCCTACCCCAGGCCCCACTAGGCAAAGCAGTGGTGCCAGCCCTGGTCGGAGGGGCATGAATCCTACAAGAACAGATCTGCCCTCAGCTCTTGCCTAGCCCAGCCCTCTGGAGGTAATGAGGTGAAGTAGGCTTTCCTCTTAGGTCATGGAAAGCAAGGCCATAGCCAAAATCAAGGCCCTTCTGGAAGAGAACAATCCAGCTTTTGAGAAGGAGAAAGAGCTTCCTGAGAGTTCTGGGCTAGGAGTCCTTGGCAGAAGTTCATACCCATCCCGGCCCCCTTCCCCTAGCTCGAGGGCCAGTTGCTAACTTCAGCCCCCAAATGAGAACATTTTATCCATCACATTTCAAATAAATTATAAATATATACACAGAATCCAAACAAATTTCCAGTAGAAGCTGCTCACAGACCCTCACAGGGGCCAGCTTAAAGAAAATCGTCACCTCTTTGTTCTCTGTGTCTCTGGAGCTTCAGGCAAAACTGTTACCCCTCCTCCTAGAGTAACCATGGGGACAGCTCAGGACAGAGAGAGGTTCGGACTTAGAGCACTCATCCCCAACTCCTTTCTTCCCTCCTCAAATCCCTTCCCCAAAATCTAAAAACAAAACAAAAAAGAAAATCTAATTCTTTCACCGAAAGGTTCTGGAGCATTTGAAGATATAAATTTCACACTCTCCCTGTCAAGTGTGGAAACTCTGACCCAAAGAAGAAGTGAGAGCCCAAAGTCAAATATCCTGTCTTCTGGGTACCCCAGTCATGTGCACATGGATGTGTTTAGGGAGGTGAGAAGGTTGGAGGGGTTGTCTCAGTCCTGAGGAGAAATTGGCACAGGGCACATTCACCTTTGGGATGATAAGTGGGCTAACTGGCACCAGATTAGAAAATGGCTGGATTCTTCTTTCTTCATCCTTCTCTGAGGAGCCGTATGGCCAGGGCTGACTGAAATGCTTCTAGTTGGGTAGGAAATAATGTCCCTTTCCCAGTCAGCATTGACTCTTAGGCCCTGGGGTCCAGAGAGGGACTGAAGGAGGTGTCAGAAAGAGGAGACATATCAAAGACAAATATGAAACTGGGTCCCGAAGTGAAGAAGCACCAATAGCATTGGCCTGCCCTGGACAGGGTTCTGGTGGGAAGGGATAGAGCCTGGGAGAAATGAGGAAGCAGAGGAGGAAATGAGGGCAAACCAAGAGGGCATGTCCTTTTGTAAAGGTGAGATAGGGAAGTATGAAAAAGAGGCCAGAGAAGGAATTGTGGGTTGGGGGGAAATGAGGAAGAAATGGGCCCATCCATCCATGTCCTGGGGCTCTGGGCAACTTAGCCTCAAGATGGTCCTTTGGACCCTTCCAAAGTCCCTATCTGGACCCACAGGAATGAAAGGAAGGCCTAGACAGACATGGAAAAGGATCTTGAATGCCTCAGACCCAAGAGGCTGGGGAAGGGAGATGGACAGAGAGGTTGGAGGCAGGGAGGACTGAAATGGAGATGTTCCTAGACCCCTCATCTTGTGTCCCATATGTGGGACTAAGCCCAAGAAGGAGGACAGGAAGGAAGGTCAGATTTCTAGGGCAAGTACAAGTGTAGTTTTGGTAGAAAATGCCCCAGCCTGGAGGGTTGGGAGGACAGAGGGAACAGAAGAAATACTTCCCCAGCAAGTGTCCTGGCTTCAGTGTCTTGAAGTTGCAACCCAGTTGCAATATTTCTGCTCCCCACTAAGTCCAGGCCTCATCAGGACCCTCTACAGAGCGTTTTTCTAGGCTAGTTGGCCTCCTGGCTTCCCACGCGGTAGGCTGTGTGGGTGAGCAGAGGCCAGAGGGAAAAGTCGGAGAGTTGGGGCTGACTGGTGACTGACTGATTGGGGAGACACAAGGCTTAGATGACAGCCACTGGGGGGGAGGGAGTTCCTGAACCACTGGTGGGCCCTTCATGCAAGGGACCAGGAAAAAGGTTGCCAGCCAATTTCCCCTCCCCCCACTTTTATTGAAGCCAACAGGTTGATAGAAGTGGCTGCTAGGAACCAGTCTCAGGACTCTCTCTCCAGCCCCTTGCAGTAGATGCTCATTCTCAGAGGCTGCAAGGGTACAAGTAAGACCCCAAGTAAGATGCTGGGTTTCAGGCAATAGACAAGAAGCACTGAGCTCCTGCTATCCGAGGCTCCAGCCAGAGGCCGGATAGGAAGCCACTGGGAGGGCTGCCCAGGTTTCTGACAGTTGATGCCTGCCCATCCATTAGCGTCGTCTCAAAGCTCAGAGCCCAGAATGAGCTGGGGAGGGGAGTTGGAGAAGGAAGAAGAGGGAGGTCCTGGAAGCCGGAGGTGGTTGAAGAGGTGCTGTCCTGTTCGGGAGTAGCCAGGTAGGGGCTGCTTACTGCTTCTCCACTGCTCCCTGCTCCGCTGTGCTCTCCTGGCTAGGGCCCTGGCCCTGGTCCTGGCCCTGGTCCTGGCCCTGCCCGTGCCATGGGGTCTCCTTGAACACAAACCAACAGTTCCCAGCCCACAGGAAAAAGTTGATGAAGCCGAAGAGCTGCAAAAACACCAGGGGAGTTTGTGAGAGTGGTAAGGAAGGCATTGTGGGAACAGGGAGGGGGAGTCCCTGGGGTGGGTCGGGGAGAAGGCAGAGGGCTGGAAAGACTAAAATACAGAGAACTGGATGTAGAGGCAGGTTCAGTGCTGATTCCCACTAGCGGTTCTCGGGCCAAAGTCTCTCACTGTCCACAGCATGCACCTGAGTTGTAGCTTGATCTCTGGGAGACTCTGGCCCCTGGAGCAAAGCATCATGCAAAGCAGAGCAAGGCGCTTTCCACAGCAGGGTCCTGAGTGCCTTTTCCGAGGGTGGGTGTGACCAGAGCTGTCCAAGGTGCTCCTTTCCTGGGGCCAGGGACCCAGCCACGGCTGTATTCAAACATTTATTCAAAAATACTTAAAAACCTATCAGCAGGAAGTACTGGGGGAGGCGAGCGTACTGATGTCCACAATTAACTTTGAAATGCATTAAAAATACGGTGGTTTGGGGTGCCTGAGTGGTTCAGTGTGTTAATCCTCTGCCTTCAACTCAGGTCATGATCTCAGGGTCCTGGGATGGAGCCCCACATTGGGCTCTCTGCTCAGGGGGGAGCCTGCTTCCCCCCCTCTCTCTCTGCCTGCCTCTCTGCCTACTTGTGATCTCCCTCTCTCTGTCAAATAAATTAAAAAATGAAATCTAAAAAACAAAAGAATACAGTGGTTTGATGGATAAAGAGGGGCAGATAGATACGTGATAAAGCATGTCTAGGAAAAAGTTAATCATACAGTTTAGGTGATGAGTGTGTGGGTGTTCATTGTAAAAGTCTTTCAACTTTACTGTATGTGTGAAATTTTTTACAATAAAATGTTGGGGGCTAAAACCTATCAGCAGGGTTCCAGCAAGGTCTAGAAGGCTCCCTGGTATGCCAGCGATGAAACCCCTTCAGTGTCTGGGCCTTGGGGAGTTCCAGGCCATTTTCAGGGCAGGGCTAAGGTAACAAGGGGTATCTGAAAAGCTCAAAGCCTCAGCTATGTGCCAACTGATATGGAAAGATTTCCACATTCTAACAACCAGGATGGCCAAACCAGTGTGTACCAGTTGGACCCACCCCTGCCCAAAGCCCCTTTCCTGCCTGGAGACCTGAGTGACAGTGAACCCCTTTCTCTCACTCTGGGTGTGCTCCCAGTCTTGAGCCCCACCACAGCCTGTGCGCCCCTTCACATGCTCACATGCACATGTGCACACGTGCACACACACATACATTGTCAAGAGGCAGGAGGGGTGGGAGCATGCCTGGATGTGGGGAGAAGGGAAATAGGAGGGCAGAATACAAAAGGAGGAAAGAACAGGAGGCTAAGTGGCTCTTGGGCTCCCCCCCCCCAAAAAAGAAAATGGCCTCTCCGGGTCATCCAGAGGCCAGCAGCCATCCTTAGGTGCCAGAGTCACCCGCTCCAGTTTCAGGGGATACCAGCTGGAGAGACACCCCTCTGCTCCTCTCAGAACCTGCTAGCTGGGACAAGCCTGGGTATCTGGGATAACACTGCCTCCCCTAAACCCCTTCAGCGGCTGCAGGTCTCACCACAGAGATGTTGGCCAGTCCCATCGAGGGCGTGGCCCCAGCACTGCACACTGCTTCCTCTCCGTGGCACACAGACATGGCTGCGGTCAGGCTGGATGGCCGCGTAGCCCCCTTGATGTCCGTCAAGCCCTTGCCCCAGGCGGCCGCAGCTACCAGCCAGAAGAAGGTGAAGGAGACAGTCACACAGAAGTCCTGGGAGGAGTAGAGGGACAGGAAATGTACTCAGAAAGGCCCCCCTGATTGTCTGCTTCTCTTCCTCTGGCTATAAGGCACTGGGATCCTGCGGTGCTAGGACAGCTACCTCTTGCTGTCCTACCCAACATCTGGAGCCTCAGGGAGCCCAAGTCATCTTAAGGAATTTGTTCATTGCCACCCAAGGAATGCTGCCACCCAGGGCTCAGTCCCTCAGAACTGAGTTCAGGCAACAATGTATCAAGGTACCTGCTGGTCACTGCCACCCCCAAACCCAGGTGGCCTAAACCCCCACTCTCGACTTCAAGCCTTTTCTTCGATCACCACTGCTCAGCTACAGCTGGTGGTAGAGAGCAGACTGCAGGAGACAAAGGGGATCCTCTAAGTTACCCCTTCAACTTGCATGCCTGGGATAGGGAAATGGTAGAGGCGGGAGAATGTTAATGATGGCTAACACTCAAAGCTAACTAGATACCAGATATTTACACGCATTTTCTTTTTTTTTTAATTTTTTAACTTTTTTAGAGTTTTTTAAATTAACATATAATGTACTACTTGCTTCGGGAGTACAGGTCTGTGAATCATTAGTCTTACACAATTCACAGCACTCACCATAGCACATACCCTCCCCAATCTCCAAAACCCAGCCACCCTATCCCTCCCCTCCCACCCCCTAGCAACCCTCAGTTTGTTTCCTGGGATTAAGTCTCTTATGGTTGGGCACCTGGGTGGCTCAGTGGGTTAAGGCCTCTGCTTTCAGCTCAGGTCATGGTCCCAGGGTCCTGGGATCGAGCCCCGAATCAGGCTCTCTGTTCAGCAGGGAGCCTGCTTCTTCCTCTCTCTCTGCCTGCCTCTCTGCCTACTTGTGATCTCTGTCTGTCAGATAAATAAATAAAATCTTTAAAAATAAAATAAAATAAAATAAGAGTTTCTTTTTTTTTTTTTTTTTAAAGATTTCTTTTTTTTTTATTTATTCATTTGACAGACAGAGATCACAAGTTGGTAGAGAGACAGGCAGAGAGAGAGGAGGAAGCAGGCTCCCCGCTGAGCAGAGAGCCCGATGCGGGGCTCGATCCCAGGACCCTGGGATCATGACCTGAGCTGAAGGCAGAGGCTTTAACCCACTGAGCCACCCAGGCGCCCCAAAATAAGAGTTTCTTATGGTTTCTCTCCCTCCCCGGTCCCATCTTGTTTCATTTTTTCCCTCCCTACCCCCCATGACCTCTCACCCTGCCTCTTAAATTCCTCATATCAGAGAGAGCATATGATAATTGTCTTTCTCTGATTGACTTATTTTGCTTAGCATAATCTGCTCTAGTTCCATCCATGTCATTGCAAATGGCACAATTTCAGGGTTTTGATGGCTGCATAGTATTCCATTGTGTATATATACCACATCTTTATCCATTCATCTGTTGATGGACATCTAGGCTCTTTCCACAGTACATGCATTTTCACTTAACCCCCCCACATGCTATGAGATAGGTATTCTTTTATCCTTATTTTATATTGAGAAAACTCAGTAGAAGTGACTTGTCCAAGAGCACACATCTAGTAAAGGACTGTCCTGGAATCTGAACCCAGGTAGTCTGGCTCCAGGGTGCACTTCTTGATGCTAGTATGCCATCTGTGAGCACAGCAAGTGATGGGGGCTTGGTAGACGCAGAGTCCTCAGAGCTGTGGGAGTCACAGAACCTGAAGGGGATGAACAGCAAAGAGCTGGCAGGGAGACCCTCAGGTTCCACACAGGGGTGTCCTCCCTCCTCAATGTGACATCAGTCCCAGAAGGCTCATCTACTCAGTTTCTCCACCCCATCCCTTCTGGCCGATGTGCACTCACCACCAGTGGGAAGCGCTTGTTCTCTGTGTAGAGGTTGTGGAAGCGCAGGTAGAGGACTAGCGCAGCCATGGTGTAGAAGAAGGAGAAGATGCCCAGGGTCACAAAGAACTCGGCAGGAGCAGAGAAATCCCCCATCAGGTGCATGGTCTTGGAGGTGGAGTCATCATCACAGAGGGGCATCTCATACTGGACCCGGTTCAACCTGCAGGGGGCAGGGGGTGCCATCCTGAGCTCGGGGCAATCCCCTCCCTGTGGAGGCAGGGGACCAGCCCGAGCTAGGAGTCATCATGGGCTGCTTCTTGCCCTGGGACTCTTACAGAGCCAAGGAAGGGGGTCTGGGGGGAGGAATGTTTCTAGAGGCAACCTTGCAGTCAAGACAGGAACATCCCCAGAAATCTGTCCAATTCTACCTCCCATTCAGTTGCTACCCAACCCTTTGCCCAGATACAGAGACCGTGTATTTCCAAGTGTCTTCAGGGCCCTTTAGGTCACAACCACAATATATATACAGTGCCATCTATTTCTGGTAGCCAAACCACCAGGGAGATCATCTTCATTTCGCCCCTGGGAGAGTACAGGTCCACAGTGGCCAGGTTAGGGTTGGACTTACCCATTCTCAGGCCTTATTTAGCACCCCTCCCCCATGAGACTATATGGGACCAAAAAGGACAGGGGAAAAAACAAACAAACAAACACGCTTTTATATATGAGAGACAGTTAACCTAACTTGACGATTGGTACTAAAAATTTCTGAGAAGGCAAGCTCTGTCTCCAGTTCTCTTCTGAGCAGTTGGGACTCCCCTCCATAGGCTCTTAAATAGCCAGGAAAGAGTCTTCTTTTCTACCTCCTGGTCAAGGTGTATTTCCTTAGATTCTAGGGTACTAGGTGAGCACCCCACATCAACTTTTTGGATCTAGGTACTAACAAGCTCCCTAACCTTCAAGGCAAGGAGAAGGTCACTGAAAGTTAGAGAGACCTGTGCAATTAGCCTCCATCCCAAACTGCATGAGTTCTTTCTGTAGGAACTCTCGTTCCCTGCTCTTGGTTATCTATGGACTGGAACGTTATTATAACAATGACCTATCTGAGTTTCCCTGATATTTTTCTATGGTTAGTGTGTCTGAAATTCCTAAAGGGTGGGAAGGACTCAAGTTTTGTAGTTCTATTTGAACCTGGCGTGGTTCAGTAGAAGGTCGTTCGTTAGGCTTCTGGAGGAGGAAGAGACCAAGCAGGTCCTGTTAAACCAGCGAGGGAGGCTGTGTGGGGTCAGAATCAATTCCCGCTCACCTGAAGGGATAGCCGAACAAAACAATGATGGAGCTCACATCCTTGGCTTCGTTGTTGCAGCGAACTGTCGCTCCTGTCTCCCCGCTGTAGGAGCCGCAGGACCCGAAGGCGAAAATAGCAAAGAGCTGAGGGAGAGGGAAGGCCCTTTGAGAGTCAGAAGGCCTCAGCTGGCCAAGGAATATCTCCTCAGAACCACCTTCTGACTCTCAGCAGGTGTGGTTACAGGGGGGGAAGGATTTCCTTTAATCAAGTCCCTCCTAGGAAGGGACTCATGGCTTCCCTTGGCCTTCCCACCTCAGGCTGCTGTGCTCACTGCACCTGAGTGCCAGACCAAATAGCCCAATGAATGAGGTTGATTTGGAGTGGTGTCCAGAAGGGAGATGCAGAGAGAACAAATGGAGAGTTTCCACATCTCCTCACTGGATGTGACAGGTAACCTCCTTAAGATGATGACAAACTCAGAGCTATTCAGGCTTTTGGAAACGTCTAGCATAAAGCAGGACCTGAATTTCCTCCCCAGGGGAGAGACACCCTAGAAATAGATTCCTCTGTGCCACCTGGGATCAGGCACGTGTTGGAATTCTTTCCATTTCTCCTTTGGAGCTGTCATTGAATCTTGTCACCGTGTCACTACCTTCCAGTGGCTTCCTGCCTCACTGGAGGTATAGCTAGAAGGGACAACTTCTGCCAAGCCTTCAGAGGGGAACTAGGCAGGGAGCTGTCCCACGCTCTGCCAGCCTAACTCCTCCTCTCCCAGAGGTTCTTTTCCTCACAGCCAGAGTGCTGGCCACGTCTCTGCTGACTGTCCTGGCTCAAGCCCAGAGGAAAGTACCTTCCACTTGCCTTATCAGCCTCCACTCACTCCCCAGTGGTGTTTCCCTTTGTAATCTGTTGATGCTGCCATCACTCAGTGTTAAGAACCAGGGGCATTTCAGATCACTTGAATTGTTTTCCTCTCCACTTTTCATCACATTTTACTAAACCTCCTGTCTTGAGTGAGATGAAATTTCCTTACCCTATGGTTTTCAAACTTCTTTCTGGGAAAACACACTGGTTAGAAAAGGAAGCGAGAAGCTGGACTCTCTAAATGTCCCACATTGTCGGTCCAGGCCCCGTCTCCTGTGCACTTACCTCGTACAGGCTTGTACATGATGGAATCATTCTGAGTAAGCACAAAGCTTATTCTGCTAATGATCGTTTTCTGTGTGTTTCTCCGTGTCTTGGTGTCTTGGACATTAAGCACTTAGAAGACAGCTCATCTATGTCCCAGGCTTGCACTCAGCATTTAGAATAGAGCTGTGTGCACGTGATTTTCCTAATGCTTCCGAGTGTTGTGGAGTGAGAAGAGGCCTGGGTTAGGAGTTAGGAAATCTGGGTTCTAGCCCGGGTCCGGTCACTCAGTAGCCGGGCGAACTGTAATAAAGCACTCCGCTCTCTGAGTCTCCGTTTTCTCATCTGTTCAAGGAGGGGTTTGGAGCGGGCAGTCGAGAGGCCCTGCTCTCACAGGATGAGGGTAATGCTGTCAGTGTGCTCTTGGCTGCGATGGCCAGCAGCTGTGCTCTGCCCCTGCGTAGTGCCCGGCGCCACTGCCCCACCTCGCATCACCCAGCCTGGCAGAGCTTCTCCGTGCTGGAGCCATTGACCCCTCTCTAAAGGTCACAGTGAAGACCTCTCTGTTTCCAGGAGGTTTAGTTCACACAAATGAGAATTGTCTCCATTTTTAAAAAACATCAGGAAAGGAGAGAGTGTCACTCTCTCCAGGACCTGAATAACCTCCTCATCTGGCTTAGTTTACAGAGGCTGAAGTGGAGCCCTGTTGGCTCCTGTTGACAGAGCTGAAGAGAAGTTGCCCAAAGCCTCGGCCTCATTACCCCATATAGACCCCAGCCTCCACTGGCGCAACGATGGCGCCTCTCTAGCTCTTCCTCACAGGAATTCCCAAATTTTTGTCAGCTCTGTGAGCCTCTTACGGGTTTCTTTATTCCTCTTAGCTTCTGGCCCTCAGAAGTGGACACACAATTAGGGTGTCCCATTCTAGGAAGGCGAGCACAGTTGGATATATTTTTACCCATCAGCAGTTAGCTCTATCTAGGTCCCCTAAGAAAATAGGTATTCCTAACTTTGGGCAATGAATGGTCAGTTGCGGAGCCTTCTCTTCACCAGCACTTCCTTGACAGGCACATCTACAAAAAGATGATACTTATTGAGCACCTACTGTGTACCAGACACTGTTCTAGGCACTATCATTTAGTAGTGAACATAAGAGAAAAATCTCTTTCTTTGTGGAACTCGTGCTCTAGGGCTGCTTTATCCACCACGGTAGCCAGTAGTAGCTGAGTGTGGCTATTTACATTCAAACTCATTAAAATTAAATAAAGTTAAAAATTCAGATGCTCCATCACACTAGCCACATTCCAAGGGCAACATTTTAATAGCCACATGGGGCTAGCAGGTACCATACTGGACAACACAGACCATAGAACTTCACCATCATTGTCCAAAGTTCTGCTATAGCTAGATGATAACCTTGAAGTTCTGAAAATCCTGACCCTGTTCTGTGATTCCTCCAAGAGTGAAATATACCACAAGAGTTTTAGTACTAGCTGTATTTTCTTCTCTTCTGATTCTCTGAAAGTTGGGAATCCCTAGCCACCTTACACAGCTCTTTATCAATCAGAATATATAATTAAATCTGAACATCACACAGCCATATGATGCCAGAAAATGTAAAGTTTGCTAGGTAAGTGGACAAAGGGAAAAATTTGAGGGGAACCTCACAGGTTCACAGGACAGCAGAGCAAAAAAGATCTCAGACGGGGGTGCCTGGGTGGCTCAGTTGGGTAAGCAGCTGCCTTCAGATCAGGTCATAATCCCAGGGTCCTGGGATTGAGCCCCATGTCAGGATCCTTGCCCAGTGGGGAGCTTGCTTTTCCCTCTACTCCTTTGTCCCCTGCTTGTGCTCTCTTGCACATGCTTGCTCTCTCTCTGACCAATAAATAAATAAAATCTTTATTTAAAAAAATATCTCAGAGATTATTAAGCCCAATGGTCTCATTTCACAGAGGTGGAAATTAAAGTCCCAAAAGATCAAGTGACTCTTCCAAGGTCCTATTTAGCCATTGTGAGAGCCAACCTTGGAATTCAAATCTCCTGATTCCCTGTCCAGTGCTCTTTCTACTTCATTCATTCATTAATCAACAGTTACTGACCATCCCCTATGTGCCAAGTGCTGGTGACACAAAGATGAATAAGACCTGGTACCTTCTCTTTCAAGTTTGTGACAAGGAAAAAAGTGTCATGTTCAAACAAAATAAAATTCTGCATCACAAAGTTATTAAGGCTAAAAAAGAGAGAGAGAGAGAGAGATGTCTCTTATGTTCAGCAAAGATTATAAGGAGGCAGGGAGTAGCTCTGTACTTGGGATGCAGGAGCAGAGAAAGACACCCTGACCTGGCCCCCTCGACCTTTTGGCACCAGATCTGCCTTCTTCCCTAAATGTGCCAGGAGGCTGAGGCACAGGGAAGAGCAGGAAAGAACTGAAACCATCCATGTCACCAAACACGAGGATTTGAGTTAAGCAAACTGCTCAAAAAGAACAGGAACCAAGGAGAAATGGAGTCCCTGAGCTGGGGATGGGTTGGGGGGGAGGGAGGAATCTCTTAAGTTCTGATGCCAACCAGCCTTCCTCCTCCTGGTCCTGTATTGCTGGGGACACTATGGTCATACGCTGCTTTCCACACCCTCCTCCTCCCGTCTCTGCTTCTCTTTGGGAAAGGTGTCAGAATAACCTCGCCAGTTTGGTGCTGACTTGCTTGATGGTGATGATCCTTTGAGAACACTCCCATCCCCAGTTAGTGCAGGGCACAAGGAAGACAAGTTCTTCCCCTACTCCCACCTCTACAGTCATCTCATTGGTTTTATGGACTCTGATGGGATTCTTTCGCATTCCCCACACCAACTGAAATAGTTTATTTTCATTACAGAGTCCCCCAGAGCCAAGCAAGTGGTTTTGGCACCTCAAAGGTGAATTACTGATTAGGGATACACCCAGTTGATAATAATATGACTTACTATAGGAACAGTGACTGAGTAATTCAGTAGATTCTTTTGTGCCTTACCCTCAAAGTGAGGATTTGGCAGTGACATTTGAGTAATCTAACCAAAGGACAAGTCTAGCTGACAGACTGCATAAAGAAGAAATTTAGGGGCAAGGGGAGGTTTAGGAGCGGGAGGAAGGGGAATCAACACTCACTGAATAACTCCTGGGCTGCTTGGACTGAATGCTTGGATGCTTTACAGAAATCACCTCCTATAATCCTCCAGTGAACGCATAAGATAGATCGTACCCTCACTTACATATACGAAACGAAGGCCCACTAAGATTTCGTTACTTACCCTAGATACCCTAGATTCTATGGCTAGAAAGCAGAGGAGACTCAATTTAAACCAAAGCCCATCAACCTCAAAATCTGCCCTTTTTTTTAGGAAACCAGTTCTTTAATAATTGGTCTAGACCCATGTTATTTTGCTAGCTTTGTGAAGACTTAGTGAGACTCCAGAATTGGAATTGAGGTGAGATGAATTTCTGAATTAAAAAAAAAAAGACACTCTAAGCCAAGCTCCTGACTAATAAAAGTCTAACATTGCTTTCTTCTTACCAGGATTCCAGCAAAATTACTTTTGGATAACAATGACAACAAAAGTTTTCAAGCATCATTAGTATAAATGCAAGAGCTGTGTGTTCTTTTTTTCCTTTTCCAGCTCAGGAGCATCTGAGCCCCCTAAGCAGGAAATGAGTAAGAATCCCAAAGGACATCTTCACTGTCATTTCTGGTGCTGGTTCCTGTGCTCGTTTACAGGAGCTCATCCTGCAGAGAATCAGGGCCAGTGAAACTCACGCTCTGAATTCAGGCTGCCGGGATGGAAGTAAAAGCAAATCATGTCTCCCTTTTATGCTGCCCTTCCCACGAAGGCTGAGTTCAGAGTCTAGCCCTGGGCACCCGGATTTAGCACTATGAGAGAAAGGTATCACCCTCTCTAAGAAGCTGAAGATCATAAAAGTCAAATGGGTCTTAACTCTTAGGGATCAGTGCTTACCCTGGGAGGAGACTGGATATTTTCCTAGGCATTGCCTTGTGCAGCCTTTATAGAAACATGGTATTGGTGGGTGGGGAGGGGGGTGGCACTGAGAAAATGATAGAAGGATTGAAAACAGAAGGATTTCAGAATCCCCCACCAAAGGATGATTCCATGGTCTAATAACCTCATTGTTTCCCTTATCCCTTGACAGTCTTTCTCAAATTTCCCCTAGATCTATTTGTCTAGTTTAATGATAAAATTGTACTCTTGCATTTCAGGTTCTGCTCCTCATAATGGCTCCCTAGTTCTGGATGGCAGTCACAAGGAGCCTTAATAACATTCTTATATGGCCACCACTGGTATTCAAGTTGGTGGATCAGAACAGGGAAGTTGGGGTGGGGGTGAAATTGCTCAGTCAGCAGTCCATCCAACAGCTCTTGAGGTAGTAGGGAGGGTGGAAAGTCCCCACCAGGTCTCAGAGTTTGCACTCGGGAGCTCCTTGCTTGGCCTATAGCCCCAGTCAAGGTTTCAGATATCTGGAGATAACCCCAAATGCACTATTGCCCCTGAATTCCAGGTCTGATGATTCCCATCCAAACGATGATTCAGGAATCGGTGACACGGTGCTCACTCTTGTCTCCCGTGAGTTAAAAAGCCCTCTAGAACTCAATCCTCCTCAGTCTTAGTGGTAACTTATTCGTTAGCTGAATTCTGTGCTGGAAGCACATTAATTAAGCTATTCACACACCATTTGGTGTGTAGATTGTCTAACTTAAATCTCCTCTGTTATAGTGCACTAAATGCTGCCAACAAGTTTTCATGATTTGAAAGAGTGACTACACCTGCCCCCATGCCTAACTTACACTCAGGAAACCTTGGGCACTGCTAAGGACAGAGAATATACTAATATCTCAAAGTACCAGTGAGGTAAGGAGATATATTTCCCGTCGACCATTACAGAGGACACTGAGGCTATGGGCAAGTGATTTCTTCAAGGTCACGGGGTGAGCCTAATGAAGGGCAATATTCTGGCATACCGACCCATTTAGAACAGAAGAGGACCCTGTGGATGGTGTGATCAACAGTTAACTAATGTTGGAAACTGAGGTCCAAAGAAGTGACTTGCCCAAGGTCACAAAGCTGGAAAAGGCAGGTCCACGTCTAAAACCCAGAACCCCAGCTTCCCTATTCAATGTTTTGTTTTATTCTACAAGCCACATTTTGGCCACAGTGTGATTTTTATTGTCTTAATATTTTTTCTTTTATTTAATCTTAGAGCCCCAGGCTTCATTCATTCATTCATTTATTCATTCACACTTTCACACAGTCACAAGAACCCAGATCACTCCAGTGACCTCAACAGGACAATTGCCAGCCAGGACCCTGTCCCTGGAGCCCACCTTCAAGATCAGCCAGGTCCCGGTGGGTTTGGGGGCTGGATGGTTTCCATCGCACCCCTCCTCTCCTCTGCCCTCCGTAGCTTTCCTCGTCCTCCTTGTCCTCCTCCCCCCTCCCGCCACCGAGGAGTGGTATGTGCAGGATCAGAGTTCTGGAAAGGTTACACCCGGGTTCTCTCGCCCGGGTGAAATGTGAGCGCCCTGGGCAAGGGCTCCTTGCACATAGAAGGACCGAATCCCGGACTCCGCATGCCTTGCTCCTCGCTCTCCAGCCACCAAGTGCTGGAGAAGCAGCCCCAGCCCGCCCCTCCCCCGCCCACCTGTCGCCACCCCCCACCCTTCCGTCACGGCGGGCCGCAGCACCTCCCCGCCCCCCACTCCGGCCACATTGCTTCGGGTCAGCGTCACAGTCCAGGCTCCCGAAATAGCCCGCAGCTAGAGCGTCGACTCACCCACTGGAGAACTTTGATGAAGCCTAGCGGCTCCTCCAGCCGCCGCCAGCGCAACCCCACCAGCAGGCGGTCCACCTGCGGAGACAGGGACGGCGGAGTGTCAGGGCGGTGGGGGACCCAGGAAAGCGGTGGTCCTCTTCCCACTCACATTCGGGGGAGGGGGTTGGAATAAGAGTCCGGCCTGACCCCCAGGTGGAGAAGGGGTGGTAAGACAGCCCCAGGGGCGCGCGGGTAGTACCTGCTGGCGCGGCGACTTGTCCGCCGCGCGACTCGAGCCCTCCGTCGAAGACATGCTGGCAGAGCGGGGCCGGGGCGCAGCGCCGGGGCTCGGTTCCCTGGCCGGGAGGCTGCGGCTACCGCGGTGGGACGAGGGGCTGCTGATCGGCCGCGGGGGCAGCGAGCTGTGCGGGAGCGCGGGCGGCCGTCGGCGGCCGGGGCTCCAGACTGAAGGGGCGGATGGCGGGGGCGCTGCAGCTGGCGCTCACCGAGGCCGGGACCGCCGCTCTGCCCCTCCGGCTGCAGAAAGCCCCCGAGTCCGATTCAAACTTCTGTCAAACTCCCGAGCGCACTTGGCAGCCGAGTCACGTGGCGTGCGCTCGCTAACCCTCCTCCCACCCCCTCTGCCCAGGGTCTGCCCGCAGGGCGTCTTAAAGGGACCTGTGGCCTCCGCGGACAGTTCGGCCGCGAGGGGGCTCAAGTTCCTGGCCAGAAGCCTCCGGGGCCAGTCTCAAGCCCTTACACCGCAGCCGCTCCAAGTCGCGGCCCAAGTAGCAACCAGCCTGGACGCACCGCGGTTCCTAGTTCATCTTTCCCCTTTGGCCTGGATTTGGGGCCGCTCTGCGCCGTTTTTCTCTTCTTCCGCACCACAGTACCCAGAATCTACACCATTTTCATAAAGCATGATCAGCGTTGATACAAGGTTCTGAACCTTACGGTTAACAAACTGCTTGCTTTCAAAAAGCTCCGAGAGCCCCTGCAGAGGGGAAGGGCAATAGAACAAAAATCGCTCACTTTTTATTCCGTCTAGTTAGGTGTCGGTTTAATTTCTTTTTAACAAAAGATATTCATAAGTTGGTGACAAAAATTATTAATCTTTAGAAAGTATAAACTCATTTTCCTTTATAGTAGACGTCACCATTTAAATGAGAGTGAAAACAGTCTTTGAGGAATAGGGGGTTTGGAGAATATTTGCATTGAAAAGTTGACATTGTTGTGTATGATTGACCTTAAATCGATCCCTAATTTTCAAAAAAGTGTTTGGCAGGAGCCCTGAGTGGCCAGTCATGAATATTACACGTTCGGTTTACTTTATTGTAAATAGTGAAAGGTTAAGTGATTTGTCCAAGGTCACTGAGTGAGCCAGGGGGCGGCGGCCAGGACAAAACCTGCCTGTGCCTCCGAAGAATTTACTTCTAAGTATGTATCCTTCCCCTCACGAAGTCATTATTGGAGGTCCCCTTTGGTGCTTTAGAATGACTACTTTTGGAACAAACATTTAGCTATTATTAAGACAATTCAATCCCCCATTGAGTAAGTGCCTTACCACGGTTCGGGTAGGAAGGCGTGGCTGGACTTGAAGGAAACTTCTCCAGCCTATTTCCATGCAAATCTGGACGAAATAAGAAACAACAGAGTTCCCGATCCAATTTTTAACAAATTGTTCTGCAGTTTTAGCTCCTTAACTGTAGAATTGGAATAATAATAATAGTAACTGCCCTACTTACGGCATAAGGATTAAGTGGTGTGATGTGTAAATGCCCACACTATACAAATATGAACTATTACTAATGTTTACAACAATATGCATACAGAATATAACACCATCAGAAAATTCAGAATAATGCAGCAAAAATCCCACACATCTACCAAGTAGCCTTACTAAATTTTAACACTTTTCCTTCTTTGCCTCAAACCCATTCTTTACAAAAAAAAAAGGCATATAAAAACAAAGCTCTGTGTCCCGATATCATTCCCTCCCTCTCTCCTTCCACTCCAGAAGTAACCACTATCCTATCCTCTATTTTTTTATCAGCTTCATACATATTTTAATACTTGTACTGTAGAATGACTGTATCTGCAAACAATAAATTAAAATTCACCAGACTTACTATTGTTTTTCACATGATTTTAAATTTTATCTAAATATTGGGCTTTAGGTGACCTTCTTTAACTTGTGGGTCTGTTTGTTGTTTTTTTTATTTTTTTTTTATACTCAGTGGTGGATTTACAAGAGTCATCTGGCCAGGTGTATGTACCTTTAGTCCCTTCATTTTAACTATAGAGAATTCCACAACATACATATACCACTATATCATTCTCATATTGATGGGCATTAAGGTGATTTCCAAATATATACTTTTACAAGCAGTGTTGCATTGAATGTATACATATGTCCATAGTCGCCACACAGTCCTGAATTTCCAAATTTCTTTCTTTTTTTCCTCCTTAAACACAAACCCTGGTAAAAAACAAATTTTTAAGTCATGACCCATTGTATAAAATGAAACAAATGTTTCATAAACCATTCTCATTATTTTCTATTACACTTCATTAAAAAAAAATCTGGCCATCTGGAGGCCAATCTAGGTTTTGTCTAAATTTGCCTAAAATTTATATAATTTGGGGGTCCCCTGTAGAAAAAGAATATACAATTATGAATACAAAATTAGTAACCAGGACTTGAAAGACTTTGCAAGTGAGGGAGCCTGAAGCTTAACCACCATTAATTTCAGAGTAAACAAGCCTCTAGAAGTCACACTTAGATTGCTTTAATGGTTCACTAACAATGGGTCTTTACCAGCAGCTTGATGAACATTCCTCTATATCTAAAAGCCAGCAGGGGGGTGCCTGGGTGGCTCAGTGGGTTAAGGCCTCTGCCTTCGGCTCGGCTCGGGTCATGATCCCAGAGTCCTGGGATCGAGCCCCGCATCGGGCTCTCTGCTCAGCGAGGAGCCTGCTTCCTCCTCTCTGCCTGCCTGTGATCTCTCACCGTCAAATAAATAAACAAAATCTTAAAAAAATAATAAATAAATAAAAGCCAGCAGGCTAGGACAGAAGACTCGAACATTTCACCTTTAAATTTTGATAAATGTCTGTACCCATGTAACTACCGCCACGAGCCAGATATGGAATATTTCTATCATTCCAAATAACTCATTCTTGCCCTTTTATAATCAATCCCCCAGCAATTACTGATCTGCTACTCTGTCATTATAATTTAATTTTGCTTTTTTCTAGAATTGCAAATGAGTGGAAGTATGCACTATGTACTCTTTTTTGTCTGGCTTTTTTCACCCAGCCTAGTTTTTGAGATTCATCTATATTGTTGTACTTATCAGTGGTTTGCTCCTTTTTGTTGCTGAGTAGTAGTCCATCATATTATGAAATACGATCCATAACTGTGTATCTATTCAACTGCCAAAATACATTTGGGTAGTTCCTTTTCTTTTCTTTTTCTTTTTATGCTATTATGACTAGACCTGACACAAACTTCATGTACAGATTTTTGAGTGAATGTAAGTATTTATCTCTATGATAAATACCCAGAAGTGAGATTTCTGGATTATATGTAAATACATGTGTTTAACTTTATATAAAAGTACCAAACTATTTTCAAGAGTGGCTGTTTCTTTTATTTATTTATTTATTTATTTATTTATTTAATTTGACAGACCGCAATCTCAAGTAGGCAGAGAGGCAGGAGGAAGCAGGCTTCCTGCCAAGCAGAAAGCCCCATGCAGGGCTCAATCCCAGGACACTGGGATCATGACCTGAGCTGAAGGCAGAGGCTTTAACCCACTGAGCCACCCAGGTGCCCCAAGAGTGGCTGTTTCATTTTGCTTTCCCATTAACAATGTATTCCAGTTGCTTTACATCTTCTCCAGCACTTGGTATTATTAGTTGCTTTGGGTTTTTTTGTTTTGTTTTGTTTAGTTTGGGTTGGATTGATTTTTTTTTGGTGTGTGTGGGAGTGTTCGCTTATTTGTTTTTCTAACCATTCTGAAAGGTATGTAGTGGTATCTCTTTGTGGTTTTAATTTAGCCCTGACGGCTAATGATGTAAAGCATCTTTTAATGTGCTTATTTGCCATCTGTGCATCTTCAGTGAAGTGTCTGTTCAAGTCTTTCGCCCATTTTTAAATTGGGCTGAGTTTTGAGAATTCTTTATATACTCTGAATGTAAGTCCTTTGTTGAATATGTGATTTACAAATACTTTCTCCCAGTCTGTAGTCTGTCTTTTTCATTCTTTTAATTGTCTTTTGCAGAACAACGTTTTACATTTTGGTGACCTCTATTTCACTATTTTTAAAAAATGGCTCATGCTTTTGGCATTATGTTTAATCACTCTCTGCTTAACCTTAGATCACAAATATTTTCTCCTTCATTTTATTCTAAATGTTTTATAATTTTATTTTTGAGTTATTTTTTGTATAAGGTATGGGATTTAAGTGAGGGTTATTATTATATTTTTTGACATGTAGATATCCGGGTGTTCTAACACCAGTTTTTGAACACACTATTCTTTCTCCTTGCTTTTGCACTTTTGTTTAAAAAAAAAAAATCAAGGAGCACCTGGGTGGCTCAGTGGATTAAGCCTCTGCAGTCAGCTTAGGTCATGATCTCAGGGTCCTGGGATCAAGCCCCGCATCAGGCTCTCTACTCAGCAGGGAGCCTGCTTCCCCTTCTCTCTGCCTGCCTCTCTGCCTACTTGTGATCTTTCTCTCTGTCAAATAAATAAATAAAAATCTTTAAAAAAAATCAATTGGCCATATTTGTGTGAGTCTATTTTGGACTTTCTATTTAATCTATGTGTCTGTACTTTTGCCAATACCACATTGGTTCAGATATTGTAGTTTTCTAGTAAATCTTAAAATAGGCTAAAATGATTCCTCCAACTTTGGTCTTCTTCAAAATTGTTTTAGTTATCTAGTTCCTTTGCCTTTCAAAATAAATTTTAGAATCAGTTTGTCTATATCTACAAAAAAAATTCTGCTGGGATATTGATTAGAATTGCATTAAATCTATAGATCAATTTAGAAAAAATTGACATCATTACTATGTTGCATTTTCTAGTCCATGAACACAGAATGCGTCTCCATTTATTTAGGTCTTATTTGATTTCTGTATTAGCACTGGCAGTTTTAAGCACACAGCATTCATGTACAATTTTGGTAGATTTATACCTGAATATTTAATTTTTGGGAGCCATTATAAATGGTATTATTTTATTTTTAAAAATATTTTATTTATTTATTTGACAGACAGAGATCACAAGTAGGCAGAGAGACAGGCATAGAGAGAGGGGGAC